GGCTATGTTACGTGACGGTTCGTCCGGAGGTGTGGTCCGCTTGGGCGTGATCTCAGAGGCAGGTGTCGAACGTAGTGTGATCTTAGGTGATCAGTTGCCTAAATTCTATGAAGGTTGATGTGCTCTTTGGATATACAAATAATATAAGTTAATAAATTTTTTGTAAACTGCCTAATTCTTTTATTTTTCCAATGAACTTTTTATATAAAAAACATACCTTTCTTACCAAAAAAAGCAATGATATGTCAAATCTTAAATTGGCCCAACCATTTCAAGAAAAATAGTAGTGAAACATATACTTTTTATATCATATAGAACTTAATTAGAAAATATTCTAATAATTCTCTTGTGTTCGACGCTAACAGAGTAAGTTTTCAAGTAATAAAACATATTGCATCCTCAAATCATTGTTTATTTGAATACATCTATTTACATATAAGCTTAAACTATATAATATAGAAATTAAAACAAGTTTATGTAATAACTCCAAGTTCCTCCATAGTGTCGAGGTCCCGTAGCAACATTTGTATGGTCTGCTTCGTGCGCGGGAAATACTCCGCCGTCTCATCATCCTCGAATAACGGATCTTGGGATTCCAATTCTGTACAGTAAAAATACATAAGCATACAATGTGAAGTGAGTAAAAAAATTACAGACAAATTGAGTATCTCCTTTTGGAAGTTGATTAAAATGTACATTTCAATTATGACAATAAACATAGTTTACAAGGTAACTTTTGACAGCGATATAATCCGTAAAGAATTAAAAGCAAACTATAAAGTAGCTTATGTATTCTTCGAGTCTGTTCCACAAATGTACTTTTCTTGAAGATTCATTACTTTTGTGGATATATGTAGTATTAGACATCAATCCGTCTAAAATTTCGCATTCAGATTAAGACACTGATCTACATAAATGGACAGGCTAAAGTGAACTTTCTGTTTATCTTATTTTCAACACGCGAAAGTGCAACATATAGTAGTAAGTCAACAAAGTATACCAGTTTTGCATTGATAGTCTGTCATTACATTAAAAGGTGCATTAAAGTCTGAACTATGCTAAAGCTATTATTTTCAATTTGCCGATCTTTTTATATATCCCTATACTGACCCGCGACCTGCGCCTCTATGGAGTCAAGACGGGAGTCGAGCAGCGCCTGGCATCGCTGTATGTGTCGCAGTAGGCGCTCGCGACACGCACCGCTCTCTATGGCCGCCTCGGGCTGCGGCGCGCGCACCTCGCTCTGCTCTGTACCACACAAATATTGTAATAATCATTATATAGAAATAATATATAGCCTATGTCACTCGGTGATGATGCAGCTTTCTATTTGTAAAATGATTTTGAAATCGGTCCAGTAGTTTTTGAGTTTACTAGTTACAAACAAATGTTAAATAAGATGTTAATTTACAGATACCGGCATTCTGATGCTTTCTAAACTTAAATTAAAGCTAGTTCATGAATTTAACTTCTATAAACGCTACAGCAAACCTTTTAAATACATTTATAGTATGACACTCCAAAACAAATATTCCTGTAAAGTATATTTTCAACCAAGACCGTTACAGTCTTTCATTGTATGAATGATTCCAAAACCAGTACAGTAACATTAAAAGTATAAGCAGTAAATATTCTAATGAAAATACATTAAAAATAATTAGCATTTACCTTGTACACATTTAGCCAATCTCTCCAGCTCCGAAGTACTAATGGGTAATTCCAAGGAGGTGCCTCCGGGACTGGAGAGTAACCCACTGAGTAACGTCTGAGGGCCGAGAGGTATATCCCTTTCCTCTGACGTCACATCCATTGCCATCTCACTGACGTCATCCGTCTTCAATGGCAAGTTCTCCTTGCCAATGTTATGGATCATTATATTGAGATCTGAGTAGTCAGAGTTCAATTTCTCTTGTGTCATAGTTAATTCTGTGTTCTCCCAGTCTTTCGCCCATAGGTATAACTTTGGATGGTCCTTTTTCCTACAATAGACATGACTATTAATTTAACCTGGACATTTAAAAATACATGACACAATTAAAAATTGGTTAAAATGATGATGATTTTATAATCACTAGCTTTTGCTTCGCGACTCCGTTTGCGTGTATTTAAAAAAATACATAGCCCATGTGTTCTTCCAGTCTATCCTCTACACCAATGCCTATTTGATCGAGATCCATTCAGCAATTTAAGCTTCAAACTCTAACAAACATCCATCCATCTAAACTTTCGAGTGAAGTGGGAGCAATTCTGCGTTTCGGCTGATGAGTGTGGTGGT